TTGTTGTTGTCGCTGTTGCTGTAATTAATGGCAAACAATTACAAAAAAGGGAGAAAAAATACAATGAAATAAAAAAAGAACCCAACGAGCTGCGCGCATCCAAAGCTGGAATTACAAAATGAAATGTGAAGAGCAAGTTAAAAAGTGAATTACCTGATAAAGGACAAAACGCGATTTGAGGTGTGTTTGTGCCAGGCCAATACAATGCGTGTCCTTCTCCCCCGCCCCCCACTCCTTCTCTCCCCCTTCCTCTCTCGCTGTCTCTCTGCCTCTGTCGCCCCCAGGTGTGCCTTGGGCAGGTTATAAACTCGTGCCCAGCATGAGGCTTTACTGACAGCCAGAAGTGCTGCACAGTGGTGCCAGGCAGCTCAAACTTAAATCAGGGACTATGATTTGAAGATAGTTAATAGACATTAGAATATAGAGCTATATCAATAAGCAGCTATTGACTGTTGTTTACTTCTTGATTTATTTCTGTGCCTTGGCTTATCAGTCCCACTGTGCGTCACCTTCGTAATGGTCGGAGCCGTCTTGTCCATTGTCCAGCTGACGAGCTTAATTAATTACACGATTGTGAGTAACTGCCCGGACAACGGGCATCGAGGAGCGGGCTTTTAGCCAACTTTGGGTGTTTCTTTGCTGGTCATTGGCCGGATCAGCACACACAGCCCCCTAGCAGCACTTCGAACTCCACACTCCACACTCCACACCTTGCCAAAAAGTTGCGTATCGATGAGACGCGCACAAAATTCTCTCCGCGTGCAGTCGCGGGGGCCGTAAAAGACGCTGGGGAGAAATTAATACCTACTTAAGCCTAACTGGACAGTTGACTCCGCAAAGTTGTTGGCCTTAACTGGAAGGTGATTCACACGAATTTGCATTGCATTGCCAAGGAATGTAATTGGGTTTGGTCTTGCTTTGAGTTTGGGTCTGGGTCTGGGTTTGAGGTTGAGGTTGAGGTTGAGTCGTGGCCATGCAGCACAACTGCTGAATATTCAAATGGACGCAATTATCCTGTGTGTTCGTTTCGCAGGGCAGGCGACACGCCCGCCAGGACTAGAGCAGCCTACGAAATTATGAAGTTACCATATTTTTTATTACCAAAAATTACAATGTGCGTCGCCTGCAACTGGCCAAGAGCAACAGCAACAGCAACAGCAACAGCAGCAGCAGCAAAGGTGCCAGCCGAAGGGTAAAACGTTAATTGTACGTTCCAGGTTCAGTCCAAGCGCGAAGCGGACTTCAGGTTGAGTTCGCGCTCAGGTCTTAAGGGTCAACAGCAGCTTTGTTCTCGGCCAGCGCATACCTGTGTGGGTGTGTGTGTGTGTGGGTGTGTGTGTGTGTGTGTGCTAGTATGTGTGTGTGTCGCGACCCGTCGACAAATAAACACCCCACTCCACACTCAGCATACCTGTCGACGGGTGGTGCCCCCTGTCAAAAGACTTGGGGAGGTCAGTTCATATGCACATAAAAATACACTCAAAGAAAAAATTGCATAGACACTTAAAAATTTGAAATGTGTAACTCATATTATTAAATATTGATATATATATATATAATATATATATATATATATATATATATATATATATATATATATATATATATTGAATTATAAAATACATTAATGTGTATTCTAATATTTTTTCATAAGTAATTTTATTATTTTGGAGCTAAACCAAAATTGTCAATTAATATATTAGTTTACGTTAAAATTAACAAGTCTTTTTGCTCAGTGTATAGTGATCTAAAGAAAGTAAGCATATTGCAGATTATTAATTGACCTTTATCTGGTTTAGCAATAAAAGAGGTCTCCTTATAACTTGGGATATATCCCGCAGTGTCACTATGCTATAATATGAACTTAAATTATTTCTCTCAGTGTATATGTACACGCATTCGCCTAAAATACTTAACTTTTATCAATTGTAATTAAACAAATCCAAGAGTAACCTGAATTTGCATTTTTTCAATATTTCTTCATTTAAAAGGAATCAAGATTTTCGCTCAGTGTGCATAGATGTGCTATATACATGTGTTCCGTGCGCCCATTACGCTTAATTTCATTAGAAATTCATAAATAGGTTCACAGTGTGCGTTAGGGTCAAAGGGTAGCAGGAGGCGGCGTCGGTCAGTGGGTGTCCGTGGAGGCGGAGGTGGGGGCTGGGGCTCGGCTGGGTGGGATGTCACTTGTACATGTGTAAATGTGAGCAATAAAAAACGAATTTCATGTAGTTTTTTTGTTGCTTTCTGCTGCTGCTGCTCCTGCCTACTGCTGTGACTGTTATCCTGGCAGCCCTTTGTTTCGTTGTTGTTGTTGTTGTAGCTGTTGCTAGTTAGTTACCGTGTTAGTAGCAAATTGTTGTTGTTGTTGGGTCATTATTGTTGTCGTAATTTGTTTATAACGGTATTTATGAAATGGTCACAAGTCAACGCCATCAACCCTTAGACAGTCGAAGGACACGCACTGCCAAGCACCACCCCCGACTCCTCCTCCCCCTCAGCCGTATCTTTAGCCACCCACGCACACACACACACACACACACACACACACACACATGGGCTTTGGCGCTCAGCGCCAATTATTCTTATTACGCCTATTACTTGTTTTTTTTTTTTAACTACTTTGCGTTGTTGTTGTTGTTGGATTTGCTGCCCTTTTATGTTAATCGCACAGTTTTTGGCTCGTGTAACTGTAATTGATATGCGCCCTTATCATGCAATCCATTGCCAGAGAGAGCGAGAGAGAGAGAGAGATTGTAATTTTAGTATATTTATATATATATATATATATATATGAACAGTAATTACGGAATTATCAATAGTGTGCGATGTGATAGACCTACATATCCGAAAGGTATTGTCTTTCGATGGAGAGTTGAGTTTCGTCTTGTTTCTGGCTTTGTCTAATTAATAAACTTTCACATCTTCAGTCTTTTTCTCCGCCTTGGTAACATTTTCACTTGCAGTGGTATAAATGTCGAATCGTTATATGTAAATTATTGCTGAAGAAGCAACAGAGAGTCAGAGAGAAGAAGTGATCGCTGCTTTGTTTTCTTGCCATGATCAATTAAATGGCCAAGAAGCCAACGAACTTGGCCATCTCAGATTGTATTGGAAATGGAATAATTTATTGGATTTTGACAGTTAGACTTTAATTACAGCATTTCTACTTCGATAGGGAAAGCGTCTATCGATTGGCAACACATGACTTCAACTACGATCCCATTCGATTCGATGCGATCCGTTCAACCTTTGACCTCTGGCCGCACAGGTAGCAGCGCAATTGCGCACTCAGTGCTACCTTTTTCTCTCCCCCACCCCTCTCTCTTACCCTCTCTGTCTGTCTCGCTCTTCTCTTACTGGATATCATAAAACAATAAATCTTTTTAATATCTCTGCCGTTTCTTTTGCTTTTCACATTTTCTTCGTTTCGGGGGCGTACATTTTCCTTTTCAGTTTTTTTTTGTTTTTTTGAAAATTTCTCACGTCCTTTCGCAGAGGCGTTGGCATTACTCAAGTTTGTGGATTTGAAGTAATAACTCAGTGCGTCATAAAAATTTTAATTGCTTTGGGTTGTTGTTTTTTTTTCTGTCGGTCAGCCGAAGTGCCAAAGCAGTTTTGGTAATTAACATTAACCCAAAAAGCGTACCAAAAACACAATGCAAAGAACCCAGCCAGGAGTCAAACGCCAGCAACAATACAAGTAAAAGTGCTCAAGTCGGAAGTGCATGACTAGGAAATACCCTGGCCGACTGAGAATTACAGCTGACAAATGTAATCTTTGAAAACTCTCTGCAGTTTGTAAGGAGGTATAGAAAAAAAAAAAAAAAAAAGAATTGCTCAAAACCTCTCTATAGTTGAAAGGAAACTTTATGTTAAATTTGAGAACTGTTGTTCTTATAAGTAGTGAGGTATGATGGAAGACCTTTATAAACTAAAGATTTCACTAGATTTTCTGAAAATTATCGAGTTGATTTGAAGCAATTCTTATCTGCTTGTTGTAAAACTAGAATACCTCGTTTGATCATACCCCCTATAGCTTATATTTTGTGGACTCTCCTAATGCTGCCTGTCACATACGCATTATCTAATTCAATATACCCTATTCAAATATTGTAATGGGCACAGCGTATTCAAAATAAAGAACAATGAAGCAATAAAAATTGCAGCGCATAATTTTCATCTGCCTCCATTTTGGGTTTCCACTGGCCAACCCCCTAAGTGAACCCTTTTTTACATGCCTGGGCAAGATTTTTGAAATTTTCACGCGTATTTGTAATTAGTTTGCTTATTGTTTTCACGTTTCTTGATGGCACTTGTATAGCTCTTAACTTTTAACTCTCTCAGCCGACTCGAGCTGCTGCGAATGTAGTTGAAATTTGTCTTTACGAATTGGAAATAGCTAAAAGCTTTGCTCTCTTTGGCTAACAATTCTTCGTTCTATGTCCCTTGATCGAGTCCCTTGCGGCATTTGGCATTTGGCGTTGGTAACCTTTGTGTATTTCCCTCAAAACATAACAATAACAATGGAAAAATCGAGTGTAGTCACAACAATTGCAGCGAGTGCAGCTGTCAGTGGTCCTCGAATGCTCCTCGAATCTTTGATCCTGCACGGATTTACGAAACACAAACAAAAAGAGTCACTGTCATGCAGGAAATTTATTTTTGGACTCTGCAAGTATCGACGAAAATCTTGGAAAAATCAACAGCAATTGTTGTGCACTTTGATGTTCGGTCCAATGCAGCCAGCCGGACAGCTAGACGGAGTGCTAAGTGGCTGCAATTAGAAGAGTCAGAAGTCAGGTAGAGGCCGGTGTAAAGGCAACCGCCAGAGCACTCTCTGTAGAGGTGGGCACGATCATATCGAATCGGAATTTAGGGCGATCGAGCGTGCGGCAATAAATTTTATAGCATTCGACACTTTTATCGTTGGGGGTAGTTGTCGAAGAATCCTAAGATCTCGCTCTAATGCTTCACCTTCTTCTCTTCGCCTACAGATCGCAACGGGACGACAAGTACAGCCAGCACACGACAACTAAAT